ATGTTGCCCTCGACTTTGGCCTCCCGTGCCCCCCCCCCACCACCGCAGCAGCATCCCGAAGGGGTAGGAGCCCCGGTGCCCTCCCAACAGCCCCCTGCCCCTCTGTCTGCGCCTCCCACCCCGCTCCCCGCTCTGCCTTTTTTTTTTTCCTTTCTTTTTTTTCACAGTTTAAAGCTGGAGAAAACAGAAATGAAAAGAAAAAAAAATACTATCTGTTTTTTTTCTTGCAAGTAAATCCACTTATTATATTTACATTTATTTATAGCTGTTGTTTTATTAAAAAAATTGCCACTTTTTTTTGTTAAGAAACCTTTTTTTGTCCTTTTTTTTTTTTTTTGTCTCTGTGTGTGTGTGTCGTTATTTACTGTGTCTGTTTGCTTTTTGCACTGTCACCATTAACCCCAGGGTCCCCAGGGCCTGGGAAGCGGGGACCCCCCCTGGGGACACTGCGGAGGGGTGACTGTGTGGGTTCCCCAGGAACAGGAGTCACTCTTAACCCCTACGGACCCACAGGGGACAAGCGGATCCCCATGGATCCTGGGGAAATGGAGCGGATCCCCACAGATCCCGGGGGAATGGAGCAGATCCCCATGGATCCCAGGGGAACAGAGTGGGTTGCGTTTGACCCCGGCACTCCGGGATCTTCCATAACCGGCCCAAGGACACCAAAGTCGCTGCCGGCCGAACCCTCATCCCCTGTCCCCCGAGAAGCCCAAGCTGGGTTAAAGATAAGTGGGAAACAAACCGTAAAATTAAAGAATAAAACCCCCCAAAATCCAAAGAGCTGCCTCCTCCTCCTCCTCCTCCCACTTGATTTATTGTCATTTGTTATTTCTTGGTTCCCTTTTATTTTTTTTTAAGTCTGTTTTTATTAAATGTTAAAATAATGGTACATGGGAAATCATGCATTTTCTTTTAAATTTATTTCTATTTTTTAAATCTCTTTCTCTCGGTTTTAAAGTTTTTCTTTTTTTTCCTTTTTTCTTTTTCTTTTTTTTTTTTAAGAATTTTTTTTCAAGAAAAAAGCTGCTTTTTTTTTTTTTTTTTTTTTTTCCCTGGGGGATTTTTTAAAGAAGAAATTTTTTTTTTTTTTTTTTTTTTTTTTTTTTTTTTTTTTTTGGTTTTTTTTTTTTTTTTTTTTTTTTTTTTTGCGTTGGGAAGGTCCCCACCCCCCTAAAGGGGCGCTTCCACCTCCTCCTTCCCACCCCTCTTGCTGCCCCCTGCCCCCTTCCACCCTCCCCACCCTGCAGCCCACCCCGTCTCCTCCTGCCCGCTCCTGCCCCATTTTCAGCTCCTGGTGACGGCTTCATACCGGGGTGGTCCGGCGGTTGGCTGTGTTGGTGTGGATAGAGTCCTTGTTCTCTTTCTGGATACAGTTGTGAACCTGGAGGAAACTGTTATCCCTGTCGGAGTTGTAGGTGGCGGTAGGGGTGGTGGTTGCCTTCAGCGGGTCCCTGGTCAGGGTGTACATCGAGATCTCTGTTGATGGGAGGGTGTTGAACCCTTTGATCCCGACGGGAGAGGCATCCCTGGAGTGTGAAGGCTCGGTGGAGCGGGAGCTGGAGCGGCTGCGTCTCTGATAGCGGTACCGGTAGCTGGGGATGCGGGTGATGGCGGAGGACGGGAGGTAG